CCTTAAAATATGAGATTTAAAAACCCGATCAATTTTCTTATCAAAAAATAAGTAAGCATGCCATCCATAATATAAATCCCAACCCTCAAGTATCAAAATATCTCTATTAGTTAAATTAATCCAATCACTAATCCAAGTTAATACCACTGCTTCATAATATAATTTTAAATTAGGGGCTTTAAGTCCCCCTCTTTCCCGTCCATCTTGCAAAATTTTAAATTTTACCCTAGGTTTTTTCCCCTGCCATATGAATCTATTGATACCTCTTTGCCATTCTTCCAAATTTGAATCCTTTTTTAAAACAGGTATCATCTGGAACAAAAAAAGAAACTTTGGGAGAACATTCATTTTTATCACTGCAATTCTTCCCAGTAATGATAGCTGTAATTTCTTCCACTCCATCAAATCCTTTTGAACTTTTTTCCATAACTTATCATAATTATTTGTATGCCCTCTGAGCTGGGTGGTTTTCTTGCAGACGTTTCATAACCAAACTAGATAACATCACCGGTGCTAGAAGGGGAGGGCGGCTGCTCTCTGTTTATGTGCAAGTGACTTGCCCTGTCAGTGCTGGTGGGAGTATTCTTGGTGGTTCCTTGAGTAGGCTGTGGTTTACTGTTAGCTTGTTTGTCTGAGTTTGGTAGTTCCTTGACTGGGGTGTTGTTTACTTCTGGATGTTTGATCTAACCTTAATCTTTCTGTTGATCTCTGCTTATCTGGGAGTTGATCACAGATGAGGATGTGTTTTGGTCCTTTGCTTTCCTTTTTGTCTCTCTGGAATGGCATGTAAATGTTGTTTATCTCTGTGTGCCTGTGGATGGCCGGCTTGGCTGCGCGCCAGGCTTCCAGGAATTCTCTAGTGGTATATTTCCCACTGATTAAATCTGTCCATATATTGTGAAATTAAGGAGTTTTCACCCCGTCTTCAGATTCCTAGTTGGTGTCCATGGGTGTGCTTTATAACAGAATACCAGAGTTGGAAGGGACCTTGGAGGTCATCTAGTCCAACCCCTTGCTCAAGCAGGAGACCCTGTTCCATTCTAGACAAATGGCTGTCCAATCTCTTAAAAGCCTCCAGCGATGGAGCACCCACAACTTCTGGTGGCAAGCAGTTCCACTGGTAAACCGGAACTGTCTGGGTCTTTCGATTTACTTAGGAGGCTTTGGAGGGCTTTGTCGCTACGGTGATGCTGTGTGTGGCTGGTTTGTTGGTTGTTTCTGAGATATTTTTGATGTGTGGCAGCGTTACCCCTTTCGCAGTTTGTGTTGATTGTGCTGCAGTGGGTTGAGTAGTCAGGCACCTTTTGATAAAGTTGTTTTTGTTGGCCTCTTTCCTTTTCCTAATGTTCCGGGTTGCTGACGTGTGTTTGTGTTCATCGAAACAGGGTCATCTAGTCCAGCCCCCATCTCAGATTGGACCCATCTGTTAGTACAAGGGTCCCCAACCTTGGCCACTTTAAGACTGGTGGACTTCAACTCCCAGAATTCCTCAGCCAGCCATGCTGGCTGAGGAATTCTGGGAGTTGAAGTCCACAAGTCATAAAGTGGCCAAGGTTGGGGACCCCTGTGTAAGTATATTGTCGCCGTGTCTATCCAAGAGCGTTCGCTAGTTGGGTTTAAGAGTTGGGATTTCAGGACCCCTGGCCTTTAAGGCACCCTGTTCATTGATTCGTCAACAGGCCCCGCCATGCAAGCTTCTGTCCCGTCACCTGATGATTTTCGGTCATCATTATGACTTATTCCTTCTTATTATTGTGAGATTTAAAAAGCCACAGGGACAATCTGTATCAACAACAACCTCAGCATCGCCAGTTCTACGGGGCGAGCATTTTCAGGTCCTAAATGATGCAGACAGGTGTATCTTTGGGAGTAGCAGAAAGTGCCTCTGCTGTTTCTAGAAGCATCCTGGAAGGGAGTCCAGAACAGCAGGAGGAGGAGGAGGAGGAGGAGGAGGAGGAGGAGGAGGAGGACTGTGGGGCCCTTGGTGCTCTCTGAGTTTGGTGGTTTTCTTGCAGACGTTTCATTACCCAACTAGGTAACATCATCAGCGCTAGAAGGTTTGTGGAGAGGAGGAGGGGGAGGGGAGAGAAGAGGAGGAAGAGAAGGAGGAAGAGGAGGAGGAGTAGGAGGAGGAGGAGTATTGTGGTCTGTGAGCTTGGTGGTTTTCTTGCAGACATTTCATTACCCAACTAGGTAACATCATCAGCGCTAGAAGGTTTGTGGAGAGGAGGAGGAGGAGGGGGAGGGGAGAGAAGAGGAGGAAGAGGAGGAGGAGGAGGAGGAAGAGGAGGAGGAGGAGGAGGAAGAGGAGGAGGAGGAGTATTGTGGTCTGTGAGCTTGGTGGTTTTCTTGCAGACATTTCATGACCCAACTAGGGAACATCATCATTATGTTATAAATGAATAGAACTAAATACATTTCTTTTAAAAAAGAAACTGAAAACAAGGAAAGGGAGGGGGACCAGCCTAAAGTCACCCAACTGGCTCTCATGCCCAGGGCAGGACTAGAACTCACAACCACCTGATTTCTAGCCTGGTGCCTTCACTATTGAATCCCTAATCCAGGGGTCTTCCAATGTGGCCCTTTGATGACTTGTGGACTTCAACTCCCAGAATTCCTGGCTGAGGAATTCTGGGAGTTGAAGTCCACAAGTCATCCAAGGGCCATGTTGGAAGATCCCTGGCCTAGGCCAACTGTCCCTCAAAATTGCAGCCGTCTGAACTGCTGTGTTTCCTGTGTTTGTCCCTGTCTAGACGGCTCCCGACGGTTGGAAAAACTCCGTCCGGCACAACCTGTCCCTGAACAAATGCTTTGAGAAAGTGGAGAACAAGATGGGCAGCTCCTCCCGGAAGGGCTGCCTGTGGGCCCTCAACCCGGCCAAGATTGACAAGATGCAGGAGGAGCTCCAGAAGTGGAAAAGGAAGGACCCCGTGGCGGTCCGGAAAAGCATGGCCAAGCCAGGTGGGGCCCCG